TGAATGAATGTTGCATGAAAAGAATGATTGATCACATTTTTACGGCGATTTGAAAAATGTGAATGTTAATCCATTTTTGTATTAGATAATAAAATAATAAACTATCGATTTGAATCCCTAATGAAAAGTAATTTCATTGTTAACAAGTCATGATTAACATTAATTGAAGTGTTTGATTATCGAAAAATCAGCTATACTATATAATTCTCAACATGCCAATATGAGAACAATTTCATTTGTTTCTAAAAATCGAAGTAATACCTCGGAATAATACCTGTTAATTTTATCGTACAAATATTTAGGAAATAAAATATAACTTTTTCTATTGATCAAATTGTTTATTACTGTCATGAATAATTGAAAATCTGCAGAAGAATATTGTCACACAAATTCTCCAAGCTTTACATCGACTTTCTGTCGGCAAGATTTAAAGATGTTACCATCCTTAAATCTTGCCGACAGAAAGTCGATGTAAACCTGGAGCGAGCTATGTAAAAGTACGCAGAATGAAGAGATTATTAGTTTTTAATCCTTTCAAGACGGAATTATTTTTTCAAAAAAAATAAAAAATAAAAAATAAATTTTTAATGCAAGACAGAAAAGAGAGAAAATGGAACATGATACACCAAGCAATATTATATGTGTATTCCTATAATCAACATATACGAACGCATATGCAACTGTTTCTGATTGTCAATGCATAATATATCTCTCGATTCAAAAACAGTCACTGGCCACTGTAGTGATCACCTGTCTTGAAAGGGATCAAATAACGGTTCTTAAGAAATCAGAAAATCGGAAATATTTTTATTTTCATCAGAAGTAGATAATTATTGAAATACGCAAACTAAAATTTCTGACTATTTACAGAAAATGAAAGTTTTTTCACTCATAAGACCGTATTTATTGTCATATTGTTATAAAATATGATTATTTGAAAATAGTTAAAACTATTTTTTCCGATTGATTTGTTTGCTTAAACATTTGTCTAAAGTTGTTGATAGTTATTCGTGAGAGAATATCTATAAATTAAAATTTATGAAAAGCTGACAAAATTATGTGCAAAAGATATTTTCTTTTCTGTAGAAATTGGTTCGAAGATCTTATTTTGCTGATAATCTTCTTAGAATTAATAAATAGTGATAGTTCCAAACATATAATAATGATATAAGTTCTCTTGTAAAGAAAACATTCTACAAAATGAACATGACTAAAAGATGATTTCGCACAGATCGGATGAGTGTGAAAGATATATTCTATAGATACTCAAATAGATATCTCTCGGAAAAGAACGAATTTTATTTGGATAATCAAACAAAAAAGTAATGATTTAGATAAGAAAAATATTATTGACAATAATGTTTAATAAATTTCTTAAAAATATCATCTTATTCAATATTATGTTGTGATAAACAATATAAGTATCGTTATAGTGAAAATCTTTGACACAAGCTAAAATTGTAATACATTCACTTCTTTTGATACAGATGGAGTAGAACGACTTTGATGAATCAGAAATCAATGTAATAAAACAGACAAATAGATTTGACCTATACATCTTTAAGAAAAAAAAATTCAGAAAAAAATGTAACTTACAAATTCATTTCCATTTTGATCATCAATTAAACAATATTGAGAATTTACTTTTTAATATTTCAAATTCATTCAAACATATTTTATATGTCTATCACGAGTACTGAAAACTGAAACACTAATAGTTATTCTTACAAATGGAGACACGCTTTACTAAATGAGCGTGATTGAGGATAGATTATTCATGATTTAAGAAAAAGATGAAAACAAAATATAAATACATAATTACTGACGACGGAAAATTCTCAAGTAATTCACTCCGTTTACCTTCATATTGAGCTCATATGTAGAAGACCCTTAGATTAGAATAATTTCGAAATGGTTCGTGCTCTTGTTGAGATTTAGCCGAAATATCGAATTTTTAATGGATTTTTCCTATAGGACGTTAATTTTGAAGTAAAATCATATCTTCGAATTTTGATCTAAAACTTTGTTAACATGAAGGTCTTCCTATAACGAGCTCATGTATAAATTTTTATCATTTTTAGATATTGCATCTTTGAAATACAAAAATTTTCAAAAAAAAAAAGAACTGTTCTAGAGATATATACGTACAATGTAAGATATTGAGATTTTTAAAGATTCATATGTCAGCGACACAATGTTCAACAATGAAACTTTATACATGAGTTAATCATAGCAAGATCTTCATGTTAACAAAATTTTAGATCAAAATTGATGTCCTACAGGAAAAATCCATTGAAAATTCGATATTTCGGCCAAATCTCAACAAGATCACGAACCCTTTCAAAATTATTCTAATCTAAGAATCTCCTACATATGGACTTCATATGAAGGTAAACAAAGCGGATCACTTTGGAAAATGTTTTCTTGTTATAAATAATGAAATAAAATACGATTTCTGATGAAAGTGAGAAAAAAAATTCATATCGTTTTTATTTGTCGAAATCTTGTATATATATATATATAACTTGTTGCTCTATTGAATTGATTTACTTCAATATTCTTTAGCTTGTGACTTTTGTTATGCTGTCTGTTTTCTTTAGTGAAAAAGAACTTCGATCAATCAAACTATATTCCAGTAGATATTCTTTCTTAATTTTATTCTCTTACAAGCAACATGTCTGTGCAGTTGATAAAGGTAATTATAACTATCTATTGCATCATTAGAAAAATTTATCCTAATGAAAAATCTACTTTCTTCCAACACAAAATACAAATACTGAAATAATTAACTTTCTTTAAGCAGAAATTCTAATTTATTTAATAACGAGACACATCTTTTACATGAATATAGAATTTTATTATTTTTGCAATTGAATTATACATTTAATATTGTTTGATTGATTAATAAATACCATGTTACTACTTTTATTATTCAGGGTTGAATTTTTGTGCTATTCAACAAGACATTTTCATAATTGACTCTATTCGAATTATATATTTCACATTATACGTACCAAATCAGATTATGATTTAAAGAAATACTCACTTGAAATCGAATGCAAAAATATTGCAAAGATGAAAAACTCTACTGAAGAGTTACCTAGTCAGGTTTTTCGATTAATAATATTATAAGATTCTATTTTCTTGTTGTTCAAATATTAATTATACGATTACTCATCATTTTCTATACAATATCTATTTATAACTTATATGTGAAAAATAATAAAAAAATTGAATAGCATAAAAGTTTTCAGACAATCTAATAAATATGTCGCTTTCGTAACTTTGTTATAGAACCAAAATTAAGATATTGATGGAAAATTATTATTGTGTATTTTTCTCATCAAAAGCTCAAAGTAACACTTCAACATTTAAAGATTGAAAACTGCTTTAAAAAGATTAAAAAAAAATTGATTTTTTAAGTATATTATAACATTGAATTAAAATGATCAATCATTTGTTTTATATGATAGGCCTAAAACAAATTCCCAAGGCAATAAAAGCATAAATTCGTGTTGTCCGTATCTCAAGTCTTAGTTCTATGTAAATATAAAATTTATATGAATTTGGAATTCTTTTCAAGTCTATTTCACGAACATTTTCTTGTTATGTAGAAAATAGAAGACATATTCTATGTTTAAATGTAAAAACAAAGCAAAAAAAAACGACTAGACGAGATAAGACAAGAGATGAACGAAATGTGACCTTTTCTTTAGAAAACAATCAGTATGTGTGAATAATATTCGACACGAAAATGTTATTCATTTGTCGACGGATAACATACAAAAAATATCAAATCAATGTGCGAACACGAACAGAAAAATTAACGTTATCGTAACAAGTTGAATATGCATTTTGATGTTCACACATATAGTACGGACGCTGAGCCGGAAAAACATAACAGAAAAGTGAAATAATAGCAAATGTTCTGTGATTGGTCGTTTGAGTTTTTTGGAGGAGCCTAAGATAGCGTTTATTCCAGTAGATAGAGAAAATTTTTCTGTATCGAACTGTGTCTTTAGATTTTTCTTAAAAAGATGCATGTAACGACATAAAACGTCTCAAAGATGAGATTGTAACGCCCTCTTTATAGTATATTTTTTTTCTGTTGAGATAACTCTCGAAAGTTGCGCTTGGACTAGACAAAGGAATGCATACTTAGTCTCTTTATTCTACTCAGGCTCGAAAATTTTCGATAATAACTGAGAAAAAAAGTGGCAAAACATGTGGCGCCACACAATGTGTATATTTTATATTGATGGGATGATTCATCGGGCTCAGCGTAACATACTAATACTGACTATACAAATTGATCATCGAATAATCCAGACTGTTTGATTCGTTCTTCATTTCGTCTTTGTTTTCTCACATCGTTTCATCATATAAATTCAAGCGCATAATCGACCAAATGCACACACATCCACGTCTCTCATCCATCTGAATTTCAACCAACATCTAACATACAACTGTAAGTCTCATTGCTGTTCATCAGTTTTTTCATGAAAGAATGTATCATTTTCGGAGAACAATCTCGCATCCAGCTGAATTTTCGTTGCAGAATAGAATTACAGCAGTAGAAACATTATTAAAAAAAAAGAAGGAGAAAAATATAAGTAAGATAAGAAATTTCATACTCGTTGAATTTTGTATCTGTTTGGTAGTATTTTTAGAATATGAAAGTCTACGGAAAAATAAAATAGTTTTTCATAACATTCAAATATAATATTTTTGAACAGAATTCCAAAGATATTCTTCAACACTAGTAGTTACTGAAGATAGATTTTCTTTTATTAGTCTAGAAGACTTCATTTTATCGTTTGAATAAAAAAAAACTAAAGCAGAAGCATTCTTCAAATTAGCTTGAACAACGTGCTGTAATAAATGAAAATGACATTGATTTCATTTCAAAGACTACAAAACTGATATTTTTTTAAGTATTACATTTAGAATTATGCCTATTAAATAATTTCTTTTTCTAGGTGTAACTATCAACTATTATGATGCAATTAAACTTTCTTTTTGTGACAATGATTGCACTTGTTATCTTCGGAATGATCGTAGAAAAGTCAGATGCTGGTGATTGTGATGGTAGCCACTGTGGATGTTACAAAGGCTATTGTTGGGCTTATGTGAATGAAGGACGTGTACGAGCAGGTGACTGGTGGTGTTACACTCAACGATCAGGTATAACTGGAAAACGATCAATGTGGCAGGAATGCTGTTCTGATAGTGACTGCTATTGGCATCGAACCTGTGGCAACCATATTCAGTACAAAGGTGAAGAAGAAGAATATCGTACTATCTGCTGATTGAAATAATTAATATTGTCAAGTGTTATATTTTTTGTATTTGAATGTGATCATTATTAATTCAAATAAATAGACTATAGTTATTGTAAAAAATGCTTTTTTATTCTATTTCGATAGAGAAAAACATTGATATAATTGTCGTAAAGCCATTGACACTGACTAATATAATTTCGATTCTGTCGAGTAATATATGAAGAGATATCAATGTGTGTTGAAGCCTTGTTTTGAGGGCGATACAATATTGAATATAGGTTTGTTGCTTTAACTTATTTAAATAATACATTTATCATTGTTTATGTAAATTGAGTTCAATTATCAGTAAGTATAAAAAGAAGTGTGCTGAACTTTAAAATAATCTCTTCTTTAAGGAAGTGAACAGCTGTTTGAGCAGTATTATCTTTTATGATTGTGCTAACGACTAATTTTTATTAATAGATATTGGTAAGAAAAATGATAGATTTATTTCGAGGTTGAGAAGTTGGAATAATAAGTCTTTGAATATCCATTAGTATTGGTTATCATAATCCACCAGGACATTTAATTGGTCTTAATGTATCAGAAGTTTTTTGTTGACGAAGATCAAATTGAGCAGAAAGAATACATGATTTATTATAATTATTAATATCTTTATGCATAGTTTTATCTCTTTACAAATATCTTTCATAAAAAACTGTTTAGGTTGCTTGATAATGTTAATAATGTTTTTTTTTACATAGTTATCATCATGTTGAGGTTGTTCTAATTGTTCGGTTGAAAATGCAATGATTCAATTCTTTTAAATTGAAGTATTCAATAGCTAATTAGACAATGATGGAATTAGAGAATCTGATATGGATTTCGTTCTATCTGTTGAATCATTGGAGTTTTTATTGTGTTATTTGGCAGCACAAGTTTGAACAGTGATGACGATAGACGAATGTTAATTAAAAATATTCAAAGTCGCTTTGTGTTGATTTCGAAACAAGGAAAGGGACTTCATTGGTATCCTCTTCAGCATCTTCCACTTTTTATCAAAGGTACATTTAGTTTGCTTTGAAATTTTTATTGTGATCATATCTCAGATTGAAGTATTTCTCATAAAGATAATGAGCTCAAATATATGAGCTGTAGATAAGTCGACCAATACTACCAAGTATATGCTAGACTTGTCACTTTTTCAGTATTCTACATATATATATATATATATCTTATGAATGTATCATTTTAGAGAGTTGAAATATTTGCCGCAGAAAAGTCTTATTGAGTAGTCGCTCCCTTGAAAAACTCAGCTCTATGGGTGATTCCTGTAAGAACGGCTGATGTGGACAGAAGGAATATCCAAGTCAGGGAGAAAGCAAAAGTTTTCAAAAGGCATACGTTTGGTGTGTTTTGAAGCAATTTACAAAATTATGCTTCACCTGGTAGTAAAGTCTACTTTAGTGCGAACTATAAAATCAGATGTATTTTATTCATTTGTAAGCGTCAATGCATTGAATAAGATATTGACGCCTTTGCAAGAATTCTTACACTTGCTTTGCAACAATTCACCAATAATCATATGTAATTACCTAGATAATAGTGAGTGTAAATCTCGATCCAAATCTTTCTTCCTAATTTCTTAGAGATATTGCTACTATAAAAATAATTTTACTGAAAAAATGATACTATGTGTCTTTTTCCTTCTCGTTTATGAAAATAGCGAAATGAATTTATTCAATAAATGTGTTGTTTTCTTTTCGTACAGTGTTTATTCTGATTTTGGTTTTCTAGAATTCGTACATCTCTAGATTTTGTTCCTTTTGATTAATGTGATATTCTCCAATAAGTTATACGTTTTACGTTTGATTCGCTGATTTCTGGCAGCTACTTGTTTTATATAGCTAGTATAATATATAGAGATATAACAAAGTACGATTTGATTATTTCCGTTGAGTATTTTTAATAGAGATCTAAGAATTAATTAGTTGATGTTCGTAAAAAACGGTTAGAATGTCATAATATATTATGAATCATCTAAAAGTAACATGAATGGTAGTTGTCTCTTGAAAGTCGCAACAAGATATCTTTATTGTGCTTCTCCATTTTGAATGAGTGCACCTCAAATCAGATAGAAAAACAAATTTTCTATTATTGTATTCAGGTCAACAAGATTAGCCATTCTAAAAATATTTTATTCTATTTGATACAACACTATTCACAGTTTTAAAAGATATATTTTATTGACTCTTGCTTTGGGGATAGAGCATATACTCAATTTTTCCTTAGGTTAGTTCAAACATGGTTATAGAAGAAAGCAATGTTTTCATCCAGAATAGGTTTATCAAAAGCATATGGGCAAGCTTAAAAAATAAAGGAATCATCCATGTGAAAATTTTAGCAAAGAAGCTTGCTTAAAGCATCTTATATTTCTCACTGAAAAGGACACATGAAAAGCAGTTGAAATTGAAAAGCGCTTATATTCACATATTAAAGTACTTCTAAGCACCAGATTTCAATGAGAAAACATTCGTAGATGATCTGCTCCAGTTTTTGTCATATTGAGCCCAAATCTAGAGTATCAATAAAGAAACAAAACCCTCTAAAAATTTCGGCTACTGTTCATTTTTTTTGGTTTAAGCTCTGTTTTATTGTAACACTCGTAAGTGCTTACAAAAAAAGGAGAGACAGGGAAGAACATGAAAGAAGAAAAGCAACTAAGGGAATAAGGAAAATGAAAGAGGAAGGAACGCATGAGAAAAAACTAAGGAGCAGGAAGAGAGAGAATGGTAAACAAGGCATAGAACAAGCGACAGGAAAGGTGGTGGTGAATAAAAAAAGTTACAGCAGCAATTCTTGAACAAGATGCTAAGAATGGAGGTAGATAATTACGGGAGCTAATTTATGAAATCCAGCCAGGTAAGGAGCAACGAATGGTGTATAGCTTTCAAGTTCTTGATCCGCCTCATGGTGAAGAAATGACCCATGCTATCGTTAGTCATTTTATGATAACTATTCCAGAAAAATATGTCATCCAAAAATAGCGAGGAGCCTAAATTAGATGTGTACATCTTTTTTTAATCTACTTGGTATGTAACGTTTAACGTAATTTTCAAGTGGGTCTTCATGAGTAAGGCATAGAAGTTCTTTTGCTTTAATAAATGGTGCACGATGAATTATACGCATTGCTACTCTAAATTTGCGAGTTAGTGCTTCCTTTTGTGTTTGGAGAAGAAAGGGGTAGAAGGGAAATAATCAGGTAAGATGAGGAAAGGACTCTTGCCCATATGTAATCAAGATAATAAATTATTACGAAACACCTTCTAGACGAGTAATTTTCGAACAAAACAAATTTTTTAACTGCGATCTACTACTTTGTACACATGATGACTTCAAACAAACTATTTCAGATATGATATTTCATCAGTTTTTATATCGCATTCTCAAGATATGAATTTCTTACAATATATATATAAGCTCTTTTCGTAAGTATTGTGTGAGCCACGAATATTTTGAGCAACTCATATCTTAACAAAGGAATATTCAAAATTGATGAAATTTAATATATGAAATAGTCTAATCAAAATTTTCATTACACAAAATTTCAGGTCGAAACTGAAAGCTATGATTTTATCTCTAGAGCTGTGCTCGTGTTCTAAGAGTTCGGCAAAAATCCGTTATCTCGACCAAATTTGAACAAGATAACAAATCTTGTACGAGTTATGCATACTCATGATTCTCTATATATGAACACACTATGGAAGCAAATGCAGGGAATGATCATGAAATATTATCCAGTAGGTGGTACAAGATCTGTTTACGATGCATGTTTTGTAGAGGATCAGTAGTTTTTTATCATTGAGCATTAGATGATGGCTTCAAAAACAATTAACTGGCTAAAAATATTTCGCCTTCATGTTATAATATTTTTGATTATATAGTAAATTTTGTTCTCAACAATTTTTATACGCACTACAATGTAAACTGATTTGCTTTGAAGACATATCCACGAAGTTTGATAAACGACAAAAAGTGAAAATTAACTCACATTTGTTTGAGTGTGGATATTTATCTGATTCTTCTTCCCCTCCACATATGATACCCACTCACTCGTTTTATCAAGACTATTAAAAATCAGCGCACAATTTAAAAATTTAAGGCCACTATTAAAAAAAAAACTGTTTGGTCAAAAAAAGGCAAACAGAAGAACTAATTCACAGAAATGAAAAAAAAAAACCATTACAACTGAGTTGAGAAAAGTGATTTAATGCAATAATAAGAGAACTAATGAGAAAGATCGTATCTTGAGCAAATCTAGTTAGAAATTTTGGATTGCAAGAAAGCTCTTTAAAATGTAACTCAACATTTTGTATGCGTAACAAAAGACAACTATTACTATTTACTACTTTTTCAACACGCAGACGGGTAGATCAGTGAGTAAAGTCTTTTTCGTAAATCACTTTTTCAAGTAGCGAACGAGAATTTTCTTCTATTCATAAGTGCGAGAAAATAATCATAAAATTACAGTTCAGGACCATTTCTTTCTCAAAGCGATCGATACTCTATCATTGCATCAAATGAATGATGAACTTTTATTTCGTTCTTTTCTTCAGCTATCTGTTCATAAGATATGTGAGAGTAAACAACGGAAAGAAAGACAAGTTAATAACAATCCTGTAGGAAAGTGAAGAAAGAAACAAATTTTCTTTCACATATCAATAATTAGAGTTAAATTCAAGTAAAAACAAGTGATATGCTTTATGTTCTAGTAGTTATCAGCATCTATCGAGAGAAGTCTGCAACAAAATGTTGCTTCAAATCTTACTGTAATGATAAATATCCTAATCTAATAATAACATACACGAGTATTTCCCTTTATATGTATAAAAAAAGTCATATGTACTTTGTCAGATTTAATGCCTCATGCTAACAATTGGTTTTAGTCAATTGTAGATACTTTCTCAAACATAAAAAAATATAGTGCATAATATTTTATGTGTTCTCTCCACGTTGTATATTTGTAAGTTTTCTATCAATCTGTATAT